GAGAGCCTGACAGCCGCGCTCATGCGTCGTATCGGGCCCCGCGGGAGCCGGGGGGGGTCACCTGACAGCCGGCCCGCCGGGGCGGGGGGCTCGGGGCTCGGGCCGCGGCCCCGCGGGGCTCCCGCTGCGGCCTTCAGGAAGTTTCCTGGTGCTTGGGTCTCTGCGCAAGTCTCTGCAGCCCCGAAACTTTGATTTTGCTGTAGGGCAGACACGGTGGGAGGTGCGTGGTCCCGCCCTGCCGGGGGTGCTGTGAGCGGAGGGCTCTCCTCAGGTCAGTTTTTTCCTTGCTGGGATATTGGTTAGTATAGGTCAACGGCTTGTAGACTTTTCTGTCTGCAATCTTCCACCCCAAAATCATACTTCAGAAATTTTACTTTTTTGGATTTTTTATCCCCTTTTAGTTTTATGATGGGTAATTTGGGATTTCATGGTTAAGCCTAATGTAGTTTATCCTTGTCCATCTCTCAGATCAGAAGCCAAAATGTGTTGCTGTCCTTTTCTTTATATTGGATAGTCTCCTGACTTTCTAACTGCTGTTTTTCACCCTTGGTTTGTGGTTACTTCACCCTGTTAATTACCTAGCAGGCAACTAGAGACTATTCGGAATGTGGGTTTCCATCAGATGGCCTCAGGACACACATTCACTCTCCTGTTAGTTGTGTGTTGTCAGGAGCCAGTAAGGGAAACTCGAGATAATGGGTTCTTACACTGGCTTTCCGGGCTTATTAGGAGAGTTTTGGGGAGCAGGGACTGCAGGATCAATGTTTGGTAAAAATTTGATACTTTACATTAATGTATTTAAATATATGTTGTTTTCATTTTTCAAGAGCGTTGTAGCTTGTTTACATGTTTTGGGGTTTTTTTTCAGTTTTCTTCCTTGAATTAGTGCAGGTTGCACCTGCGAAGGCAGATTTTTTTCAAGAACTTGGGAATTTGTAGGGGTTTTTTTGGTGAATCCTGAAAGACTTGTGTTTCACATGGTCATCCTTGAGACCATTCCTGGCTCTTACGCCTCTGCATGTGTGGGGAAGTTCTAGCAGCTGGTTGAACGTATGGGTAGAGATAGGCTCTAAAATCATCATCTGGCTGCTTCCTTGAGTTCTTCAGAAGTATTCTTACTTGAAAAATGAAAGATTCTATAGCTTTTCGAAATTGCATAGGAGGATAAGACTTGTTATTATTATTTTGAGGGGATCTAAGAGCATCTTGGTTTTAAAGACAAAATTATTGCAGCTTCTTTTTGGACTTGAGTTAACGTTTGATTGCTACAGGCAGTCAACCGTCACCTAAAAAGCACTTATATTTGATTGGTAATGAACACTAAAACAACTTGAGTCATAATTTACAAAAAGAAGCAGCTTGTTTTCAGTCTTTTTTGGGAGTTTAAACTGTCCTTGAGGATACAAAAAACAGTTTAAACACTTGGTGCGAGAGACAGGCTTATTGATAGAAATTATAATGCTGTTGTCACAAGAGAAAAATGGAAATAGCACATACAGTTACCAAATCACAGTTATTTTTAAATAGGTGTTGTCAAATGGACTGTTGACTTTAATTAAAAATAAATAATTGGTGATGCCATTGGCAAAAGATCAACCTAGAGCTACAAGGATGATGAAGGGACTGGAACATCTGTCCTATGAGGAAAGGCTGAGAGACCTGGGGCTGTTCAGTCTGGATAAGAGAAGACTGAGAGAGACCTTATTAATGTCTATAAATACCTGCAGGGGGGTGTCAGGAATGGGCCAGTCTCTGTTCAGTGGTGCCTGTGACAGGACGAGGGGAAACGGCACCAAGTGACAACACAGGAAGTTCCACCTCAACATGAGGAGAAACTTCTTTGCTGTGAGGGTGAGGGAGCCCTGGGACAGGCTGCCCAGAGATGTGGAGTCTCCTTCTCGGCAGACTTTCAAGACCCATCTGGATGTGTTCCTGTGGGATCTGCCCTGGGTGTTCCTACTGCAGCAAAGGGGGTTGGACTTTATGATCTTCAGAGGTCCCTTCCAACCCCTAAGATTTATGATTCTATGAACTTCTGTCATTGTGGACAGTTTTCTTCCTCTGCAGTGAGGCCATGTGTTTCATCTCACAGATTTCAAAAAGAAAGAAAAAAATAACCTGATATGCAGACTAAATTCTTCTGTGGAAGCAAAGCTTG